CGCTTTGCTTTGCGTTGTTTTGTTTAAAAAAAATTCTTATTTTACATCAATGTTTTCTTGTTCCCATACCGTAATTTTGACAAATTTGGCTTCTTCACCTGTCTTTAGTATTTCTGAAAGACTAATTCTAAAGTATTATTATCTGTTTTCTTGCTTTATTATTGAGAATCTCAGAAAACTTTCACAAAATTTCCTTTCCAAGATCTGTCTCTTGCCACTTTAACTAACATTCATTAATCCTGTGCTTAATGATAGTGATAGTAGGTAGTGATAGATAGTAGTGATAGATAATGATAGTGATCATAGGTAATTTATTTTATAATCATAAAGATATTTTTCCAGAAAGACTCAAAGCACTTGTATAAGGTTTCCCATGCTTTCCCATTCAAGCTGCAGGGATTTGGGTAACACAAAATGCTTTGTCTTGCTGAAAATGCTCAGTCATTTACATATCTTTCTTTTTTAATTTCCATTTTATGGACTGTGAAACAACATACATGTTTAAGCCACTTTTCCAAGGCAAGGATTCAGTTCATTCAGATAGTCTCTCATGGTTTTTTTATATTATATGATGTTGAGGCAAAGCTGTAGTATAGGAAATTTACATTTTCTCTATAAATGAATAATAACACCAAAATGTTGTATTACATGTTGTAACTCAGTTATTTAAAAGACAGACTGCAGTGCTGGTAATAGAAAAAAACTGTGTATAAAACTTCTCAAGACTCTAAGAAAGCATTTTCATATATTGCAGAGGCTATAAATTAATGAGAACCAGTTTCTAAAGTCCCCTTCAGAATTTTTTCAAGGGAAGCATGATCAGCCATGAAATGAAAATGCTTTCAATTTATAACCCCCCGAGCACTCTCCAACCACCTTCAGAAGATTTCTTGCCTCCTGTGAGGAATAAGAAAAAAAAATCAGTATCTTACCTTAGAGATGCAACCTTGAAGTGGGTCAGAACTGTAAGAGAAAGAACAAATTTCTTCTGATTAAATTCTAACGGTTCCCAATAATAGCATAATTGTTAGGCGAGAATCAGGAAATGACTGGGGACACTGAAACATCTAATTAAAATTGCCACGGAGTAAGTAGGTGCCTTACTGGAAGGGCTGCCAGGGGCAGGGAAACCGGGATGTGTGGCATGTATGAGGGCGGCCAAGTATCCCTTACCGTCTCCAGACAGAGCCCTGTCCTCACACACACTTACCTTGAAGCTTTATGAGGAAAGACGAGCCAACTCATTCCAAGGGTACTTTTATAGGGTCAAATATGGAAAACACGTAGCCTCCTCCTCTTTCTTAAAACATATTTGGCAAAACACGTTTTTGGCAATGAAGGTCTCCAAGCATAATTCCCCTCATATTAAAGATGTTTGGATATAATTAGAAGTATTTCCTCTCACATTGGGTTAAGTATATGAATCAATCTCCTATAAATAATTTGAGAGGTCGGCAATCTGAAAGTGATCTGCCTTTGGAATAATATAAGGTGTTGTTTCAGAGACAGCTATGTTCTGCCATCCCTGGACTTTGTTGCTGCCGTCATTCTGTTTCGCTGAGCTGCCTGTGTGAAGTCTCTTCCACTGGCCGAACAATTGCAGATATTAGAGTAGGAAGGGAGGTTGCAGCTCTTGACCAGAGTGGTAGGAAGAGGTGGTTAGTCGCCCCCAGGAAGGCACGAGTTTTGTTTGTTTGTTTTCTTTGCAACTTATTGTGCTTTCCTGAGGGTGCTTGGAAACGTAATTTTGAATTTTGAAACTTGCTTCGTGAAGAGCAGCCAAGGACAGCTTCTTTTGTTGCGTCCAGTCGGCTCCCTCTGATTCATTGTCAGATCAGACCACTCCCACTTCAAGCTGGCTCCAGACTTCTTTGCCTCGCCAAGCTGAGGTGTCCACTTCTCTCATTTTTTGAAAATGCAAGTTGCTTGTGAAATCCTGTTTCCTCTATGAAACTCAACATAGGAAAATGTTAGAAAGCAGGGCATTTCTCTGTCTAGAGGCAGCACCTGTGACTCCTCCACCAGCTACCCATGGTATATATTTCACATTTTGCTTACAAACGATACCTGAACATTGTTTTCTATTCTGATTTTTTAAGAGATGTTTGTTATTGTGTCTGTCTTGTGTCTCTCTGTGTCTGCATTGTCTGTCAGCGGCTGAGACCCAAGTTGCTGCATATACTCTGTTTGGCAACAGTTCCTGTATTCTTGCACTTACATTTCAATCCGTTTAATGAAATGGGTCACCTTCTGAAAGCACGTGTCTAGAGATACTGGTTGTACTGGTCATGGGATCTATTACTGTAAGGGACCATCAGACCCATATTCCTCATTTTACTAAGGAAATAGTGGAGGTCCAGAGAATAGAAGGGAGTGACCACAAATTACTCAGCAGCCTTGACTCTGGTCACCTGATTGGTATGGCAGCCCAGCGTGCTTTCTGGTATCACTCTTGTGTCTGGAGTAGATTAAAGCCATCAGGAAGGGTCTTATAGGAGTCATGCGTCTGATGGAGCCTTCCTAGCCAACTCCTAACCTGCTTGGTTACCACAGGTATAGATAGAATTTTACTTTCTTTCATAACTGGGTTTTTTTTTTTTTTCACATTCATTTTCTTTAGCAGACCTCCGAGAAATGTGGGCAGTGGTTTTCAGGAAGACAGAACATTTTAATAATGTTCTCAGTAGGATTTGATACAAATTTTAAGGTAGTCCTTTGACCCACTCTGGACAGATTTTGCAGTAAGTTTGTTGTAAGACATTGGTTTTGGTCATTACTGCCAAGTTACCAGGCACTGAAGCGTTTATAGGTGGTGTGGGAACAAAGTGAAAGCGGGGCCAAAGCAGTGAGAAGGGTGATCCCACACCCTTCCTAAGGCCAGAATGACAGTGGGAATCCTAGTTACCTGCTAAGCTGCTTCCTTGTGTCTGATTTAAGTCACTCTCCTGCAGTACATTTAAACCAATATACTCTTGCTTTCAATTCACATGGATAGTGACCACTTGGCTTTTCCTTTATGCTGTCTAGGAAGGTCATACTTTTGGCTCTGCACCTCAACTGAATTCATTTTTGAAAATTTTGATCATCAGGGTACCTATGTGGCTCAGCCGGTTAAGTGTCCAACTCTTGATTTTCAGCTCAGATCATGATCTCATGGCTCATGAGTTTGAGCCCAGCATTGGGCTCTGTGCTGATGGCACAGAGCCTGCTTGGGATTCTCTCTCTCTCTCTCTCTCTCTGCCCCTTCCCTACGTATGCTGTCTCCCTCTTTCTCTCAAAGTAAATAAATAAACTTAAAAAAAATCTTGATCATCTAGAAAAACTTCTCTGAGTAATCCAGATTGCTACAATATCTGGGTTTTTGCACCACAGTGATACTCATTATTATGTGTGTTGAATATGCACCTAAGTTATCTAGGGACTCATATTTTATTGACACTTTTGATCATTTATTTATTTTGGCTCTTCACATGATTATACAGGCAGCCATCAAATCTGGAAACATAGGCTAATAGCTTATTGATATTACATTGGAGTATATAGAATAATATTCTCTTTGTCTCCAGACTTGATAGGCACCCTGTAGTTTTCCTAGGGAGAAGGGTATATCTCACCCTTGCATGGCATACCCATTACCCGATGTGTGTTCTCTGAATATATGGTGTATCGGCATTAGTGCTGCAAAAAATCCTTGTGGGCTAATGATACTAATACTTTGGATTTGTATTCTTGATAACATGAAGGAGAAGTAATGATATAGTGTAGTCTATTTGGGAGTATAGCCGCTGTCATTCTTTGCATAGACCTGGAAAAGTAGGTTTATGTTAGGGGAATCAGGAGCTTTCTAAGATCCTTCTATGACCTGCATTAGGGAAAGGTTAGAAAGAAAGGAAGGTGACCCTCAGATTTCTTCCAAAACAGACTTCCCTGATAGGCAACAACTTTGTAGTCTTAAAGTATTTTTATAGACTTAAAAGTGAATGCTACTTCTTAATGGCAGGTTGAGTGTAATTGTTTGATAGCCTTGTGATTATTCTAGCTTTGACACCGCTTTAGGAGAGAGAGAAAAGACCAGTCTAAGGATGCTGTTTGCAAAGTACCCTATGCTCTTTATTTCCTTTGCAGTAGGGTAGAATAGACAATAATTACAGAAGGAAATGACCAAAGACTTCACATTTTGTGCCTCTCTTCAGTCGTTCCGTAGCATCAGGACATGATCACTCTTCACTTATGATTTTCGTGTGGACCTCCCGGCTCTTTACCCGCAGCTTGTTGACCTGGGACTCAGCAATATCAGCGCGTTCCTCAGCCTCCTCCAGCTCATGCTGGAGCTTGCGGAATTTAGATAGATTTGTGTTGGATTGTTCCTCCTGAGAATGAAAATGGAATTGTAAGGAATCCCCACTGTGCATCTTTCTAGACTCTGTAGATCTAAGGGAAGAAAGGACTTGGCATGTATGGAGAACTTAAAATACTCAGCAGGGAACCTTGTTGTCTTACTGCCTCCTGGATTTTGGTTATTATTGAAGTGAACATTATGATTTATTTGGGGCTTGGTGTCCCACAAATAATTGCAACCCTATTTTTGCAATGAAAACATATTAAAAGATATGCACCACAAGTAAAGCAGAAAAAATATATAAAAGCAGAGCAGGCAAGAATACTGAAGTCCTGCTTCTTGTCAATGCTTTCTATAAGGTGACTGTAGGCTCGAGATAGATATTCTTTATATAGATATAAAGATAGATATTCTTTATCATATAAAGGATGAATTTCTTAGTAGTGTCTTTAAATTGAAATAAATGTTGAATTTTATATATCATTTTGGAACATTTCAAAACAATCATTTTTTTGTCCTGTTTTGGATGTAATGATTCTACTGACAGATTCGCTAATATTAAGTAATCCTTACACTGAAGGAATTAAGCCTATTTAATCATGATGGACAATCCCCTTAATAAAATAAGGTTTCGGCGAGTTAGTTATTTATCTTTGCTGTAACTACATTCATGAGTAAAACTGCCTTTAGTTCCATGCTGCCCCCCCCCCCCCGCCTTCTCTCTTGGACAGGTTTTGGTATGAGGGTTACGTGAGCTTCTTAAAATGATCTGGAAAGCTTTCCATCTTTTCCCATGCTCTGGAATGGCTTACATAGCTCAGGGATTATCTGTTACTTGAAATTTTGAAAGACCTATCTGGACCTGAGTCCATTTTCAGAAGTAAATGGACTTTTATAGCCTCCTATAAAAATCATCAATTTTTTAAAAAATCATCAATTTCTGTAAGATTTCAACTTTGTTGACAGATTTATATTTTACGTAAAAATTAATTTTCTGATTGTGTGGTTTGTCTCTTTTCTCATTTCTTTCTTTATTTTTCAGTAATCTTTTCATCCAACATGGGGCTCAAACTCATTACTCTTGAGATCAAGAGTCTCATGCTCTTCTGACTGAGCCTGCCAGGCATGCCCCCCCTTTCTCATTTCTAATGTGTTTGTATTTTCTTTCTCTTTTTCCTTGATTAAGCTAGTTATAAGTGTATTTATTTTATTAACTCCCCAGAAATGATCAGATATTACTGAAACTATCAAATTAGAAAATAGTATACTCTAATTTATAAATGTCTACCTTTATCTTTAACAATATTTCTTTCATTATTATTTGTAATTTCTTTATTGGACTTTCAGTTTATTTATTTGTTTTTCTTTTGATTCATAAAGCAATGAATTGTCCTCCAAAGACAACTTTGACTACATTCTTTAGGTTTGTAAAAGTAGCATCCTCTGAAGTTTATTTATGATTAGTAAGTATTCAGTAATTATGTTTTTTCTTTCCAATTTAACCCAAGATTATTTAGGAAAGTTAGTGTTTTAAGCATTTAAGCATTTGGGAATTTGTGTTTACATTTTCCTGTCACTTTACAATTTTATCACACTATGGCTAGAGAATGTGAGCTGCATTATTTCTACTTTGAAATTTTTTGAGGTTTCTTTGTGTATAGAAAATTTATTTTATTTAATTTAAATGTTTTAATGTTTATTTATATTTGAGAGAGAGAGAGAGAGAGAGAGAGAGAGA